ACGTAGCGATCGGTTTTCCGTTTGCCGCCTGTAAGTTTAGAGCCGATTCTTGAAGCCGATCGTTAGGATTTGCTGGGAGAACGCTAACTTCTGCGCCAGTGTCGACGAGGTAGCGAACTCTCGTTGTCACATCTGTGACGAATAACAGACGGCTTTGTTCGCCGGCTACGGTTGCCGTTAACGCGTGCCGGCTTGGAAGTTTCCCGAATTGCTTTTCGAATCAGTCGGTTTCGTGTTGGGAAAATTGCAGGGTTTTCTGCAATTTCTGGAAAGCTTTCCATACTGGTTATGATACCAGCACCAGTCAGGGTTATCTGTCTCTCGTGGTCTAGAGACAGATCGCTTACGAGAAATGCTTCTACGTGGTGTGCGCGATCTCTTACAGTCGGTACGAAGACTAAGATAACGCGTGAGTGTGTGACATAAGTCGTTTATATCATTCTGAGTCGTTTGAGGTTTTTCTTTGACTGAAAATACCTCGGTAGTAGATTTCGTAATTTCTAAAATGCGGTCGGCAGATGCAGCTAGCTCGTCTAAGGCGTTGTTCTGGAACGAGACCAGAACTGCTTGCACCTGTTGGGGAAGTTTTGACAAGAAGAGTTGTTTGAATAGGCCTTCGTCGAAAGTTCTTGGGCCTATAACCTCTCTCATCCGTTGCAACATGTCTGTCGCAGAACCGTGTTGCAGGTCGATATTGTTGAAGAGTTGATCTAACCTTTGTCGATCGGTTAGGTCTCCTCGTTTAAGAATCGAGCGTTTTAAGATTTCGTAAGGATCGGAAACATCACTAGTAAACATACTAGGTGTTACGTACCTGTTGAATTCGCGCGGTAGTGCCTTGACTACTGCGAGGAATTGTGCACGTGTGTCGATCACGCCGTGCTCGTGGAAGTCGGCTTCTGCGTAGCAAAACCAGGCTTCGATGTTGTCAGGCCAGAAAGGCATCAGTTGAAACGAAGGTGGGGACAAAGTCTTAAGCTTGAGTACTTTAGGTGTCTGTTCAGTCATGATGAAGTATGAAGTACGATAATGAACGAGGGGGAAATATATATATCCAGGAAAAACACGAAAAAAAAATCACAATGTTTAAAAAAAATAAAAAAATAAGGCAATGAATATAAAAATCCCAAAAAGGAACAGACTCACAGTTGCAATTAGGTGTACCAGATCACGTCGGGCTCACCAATGATGATGTCACAGGTATTCAGTGTTTGACAACGCTTCTACCAGTAACACCTTCTAATATATTTCGTTCCCGCCCAGAGAAATCAAAAGACAGAGTCGAGGAGATCGGAAGAGTATATTTGGCGATGACCAATATATCGGAATTCTCTGATCTAATCTGGCTAGCGATTGCGGTTGATGTTGAGCACGGCGTTACCACACGTGATCTGGTGCAGATGCCTGACCGAGCGCCTTCAGCTAGATGAGTCCACTAAAACATATGGTCAGCATCCAATGTCGAAAACTTACAGAGCTATTTATTTTAGGGATTTATTTACCGCTACACACATAACTATATATACGTTTTGACTATTTGAGAGTCACAGTCTATCACTTTCAGAAAACATAGTTATATGTAGTGAAGAAGAGTACTTCGAATTTTGCGTATTATAGCTTACATTGTGTTTGGATGCTATGACCAATATACCTTTTAGATTCACTGGCTTGATTCGGACCTCAATCTAACACTCAAAAATATGTAATCGTGTATGACGAAGAATTATATTCTGGAATTTACACACCAATAAAAACGTCATTCCTTGTAATGTATTCGGATGTTATAACTCACTTTCTGAAATTACCCGTTCACTTCATTGAGACTGTCATATATTTGGATCAGTATTCGTACCTGCAAAACCTTTTCATATATTTTGATCAAAAATAAGGTTAAATATAGATGGCATTATTCCTTTTCAAAACAACATACCTCTGCACTCTCCACTTCTAATTAATTCACCCTTTTGCTTCATATATGTACCACATGCACTACTTGTTTTGATTGTTTAATACCGAACACTGATAGATTTCATCGCTTCATTATATAAGATATATCTTTCCGTGTAATCTCTTGATTAAATGTTATTCAATGTGCACATTTTTGTTCTATTTTACATCTGAACCTATACCAATATTCTACATTTCTCCTACCATCTTACTACCATTTCACTATTACGCATGTGTCGTCTTCATTAATGTTCACCCCAGTCTCCCAAGTCTGAGAAAATTTTAGGGAATTTCGGGGGAAATCCCCAAAATATGCGTTGTGCATTTTTCCTGATTAAGATTTCACCACCATTGCGTTATTATACCTTTGACGATTAAATTACAACTGATAAACATTAATTGTAAAAAAATAATGACCTTTTGTCACGAATACTCTACTGATTTTCAGGTTTTGTTTCAGTATGTTAAATAGACATGAGACAATGTGTCGTTGACTTCAAACCACTTTATCAAAATTCTCAGGCAGCGCTCCAGGGGTATCGCGACACTTTTTTGCGCTACTTTTTTATTTCTGCTTTGTGCACAACCAAATTTCGAAATACATTATGAATAAATTTGAAAGTTTATTTTCCGTTTTCATAATTAGGTAAAAAGGGGTTTTTCCATTTTGCGTTACATGGTATCGCGAAGTCCTTGAAAATTCACTATTCAGGTGCTGCTATAATAGTTTTTCGGTGTTTGCATCGCAGATTAGCAATTATTTCTAGTTAGGTATACACTGATAGTAGACAATTCTTTTATTTTTATATGAAATAGCAAGATTCAGGCATATATCGTCATAAAAATTGTATTGTCGTCAAGGCTACCAAAACTGCGTTACAACTAACGATACCATGGTAAGATTTATCGTTTTTCCTATCTTTATCACAATTTCTGCTGATTTTCACTGTTTTGTTCGACTTTTATGGCAGAAATAGGTTTATAGTGAAAACATAAGGTGTCCTGAGTGTTGTAAATATTATGTATATGCTATAGATGATAATAACACATATCTTAAGATGTTAATATCACCTCCTACAGTTAGATATATTAGCCACCAGATGATTGTATTGCAGGAAATAAATCATAATCATGCGGTAGAGGTATAATTATGTGGGGATTCTGCCAAAGACCAATCTAAGATAGCATTACTACCTCTTTTGTAGATCTACACAATTATTTGGCTGTACCAAAGCATGTCATTGAGAGATGGTTGTGACTTTTTTCTTTTTTTAAATTCTGAATTCACGGACGACTACCTCAATTCTCAATAGCCGTGCAATTGTTTTGATGTTCTACCTACATTTCAATAAATATTTTTCAGACAGCTTACTTTTTTACTTACATGGGAAACTGTAGAAGTGTTGAGAATGTGTGTTTGAGTGTCAGTGAACTTTTGAATAAATGCACATTCCTTATAAATAATACATCACGTGTTTCTTCTTTTGCAGATAATTTCAAATAACAATGAATTAGCAATTGCATTGGATATGCAAAACAATCGATGCTTAAGCTTCTGCTCTAGTGTTGTACAATAATACGCTTTACCTTTTAAATAAAATTTTTCAAAAACATGCCGGTTTTACGCTGTATTGCAGATTTATTTTGGTCTGTTGTTGAAAATAAAGGCGAACATAGTAGACCTTTGGGGTTATGTTAATGGATGGAAAATAGGGAGTTCTGTGTGTATTTAGGCGAAAAGCAGACAATTCAGCTGACATTTAGGCAAAAAGTGAGTAATTTATCGACAAAACAGCAAAAACAGTCGACATTCTGATGCGTTTTCCCCTTTCGCTACCAAAGCATTTACCCCTTTATTTCCCCTTTTTGGGTTGTCTGGGGAGCTACAATGTTTTGGCTGCCGGTATTATTGCCAAAATACCTGATAGCAGAAATAAGTACTGCTATAAAGCTGTCACGAGAAAGCATTGAAAAGTACGACTCGATAGTCAAGATATCTTGATCTAAGGTGACCAGATTGTGTGAGATCCTATGTGATGATCTTCGGAAATCAACCAAGGCCTGTCTAGCTTACGTGCTGATGCCGTAAATGACAATTACTCATAACTTACGTGGGACTAGAATAGAATATGCATCAAGAACTGCAGGTTACACAGGACGATTCAAAGTAAATTCACACAGCAGTCTTTATATATGTTCGTCGTCGAAGTTTCCGAAGTGCAATCTGTCCAAAGAATTAAATAATACATTCCGTGTATGTTGTGACCCAGACTTTCCTAAGCAACGCAAGAGATAAAGGAAATAAGCGTGATTGACTATCCAAAGAAAGGGTGTGCTAAATGCACTTTCGATCTGTAATTGAATACTGGTTTCCGTTTTTATATTAGTTTCTGGTAAACATTTATACTGAAATAACTTTCCTGTCTATCTTATTTCCAGCTAGCTTCGCAAGCGTTCACAGACCTAACGGGAACAATTCCTGAGAAATAGAAGTTATTTATTAATGGATCATTTGTGCTAGATTCAAACTTTAATAAACGTTTTCATTTATAACGCACCAGTTTTTTAATTACGGCAATTCGTATCTATCGTGACAGGTCGAAATTCGAACTACTAGTATGGTACACCATGTTCAAGGTTGCAGTATTTGGTAAACGGTATGTATGACTAATCGCGTGTGCGCCAAACTGGTAATTATTACACAAGAACGCGAAACAACACCCCTGTCTCACAGCTACATAAGACTGCACAGTACACTCCCTGCCGTTACGCTATAAGAATAAGTCAATGGCCATATAAATGAATTTATGTAAAACTAAAAACATTACAATATTATAACTTCTTGTTATCAAGAAGCATAGCTATGGTCTGTATTAACAATGGATTCTGACGTTGTAGCTTCGTCATTAGCACCGATTGAACTCATCAATTGTGCACATATGTCTTCCGATGCTTCGAGGCACGAACGGATGAGTTTACTTGCCAAAGGTTCACTAAGAGCATGGATTGAGTGGTAGTCGCTAGCGAACTTCTCTAGCAGATCATCACTCCCTGTAGAGATTGAGATGTTGTCGAGCGCACGAAGAACCAGGTCCATTATGTATTTTCTTGTCCACTTGTTGCTATGTCGAAATAAGTCTACAAAACATGTAGAGATAAAGGATTACACATACCTCCACGAATCAGATCTTTAGAATGTGCATACAAAATATGACCACAGGGCAGCATGTAGTCATTGAAGCGCAATATTTCGACCTGAAGGATAAATTCATTTGAAGTAAGGCATACGTAGATGACCGACGTCGTCTCCTTTGCCTAGGTTGTGTTGGCGAGTTAGAAGTTGTATGCTCTTCAGAAGAATGATTATTACTATCATCATCTACATCCTGAACGCAAGCATCTGACTCTAACGAACTGCGTTTACGTCCATATGTACAGACATAACTCACGAAAAAGTACTTTTGAGTTGGATCATCACTGTTCTCTTTGCATACTGACATAACGTACTTAGTACGCGTATACTAAAAAATATATTATTAACCACAGAAGTCATATTACCTATATTATGCATCATCACGATGGCATCGTCTTCGTTACTTGAAGAATGAACGTTACTAGACATGATGTGGCTGAACTCAATTCAAATCTAAAAATGTCTTGATTTGACCGCTTCTGAAAATTTTCACGAATTGTCGATGTGACGCACCAATCAGTTTGCTACAGTTTGACCTTCAAGTGCTCGCAACTCCCATCAGTGGACGATACCCTAGGAGCGTTGCCAAATTCTCACCCCATGCAGCTAGATTATTTGTTTTGTCCTTAATTTCGATTTATGCTTTTGTTCGGTCTGTCTAAAGTGAATTGTCTTTTCCAGAATAATAATTCAGAGATTGATAAGATTGCTAAAAGGCAGGCTAAAGCCGCTAGAGACTTAAAGTTGATGAGCTGTCCCAAATCAACATTTTACAGAAGGTTGAGTAAGTTAAAAGCTGACTTCCATAAAAAGTATCTTATAGCGACTACTGACTATGAGAACCGCGGTTCAGTTGTTGTTGGAGAAGAAGAGACCACCGCAACTACAGAACAGCGTAACAGTATTGTCTCACAATGAGCCACTGCCCCATGTAGTTACGTACAGTGTCCAGTCTGTACAGCCGATGGTACAGTACACCTTTATTTATTAACAAGCTGTGAATGGTGCAACTTCATAAATGTCTCCACCGATTCCTCTTTCAATGAAACAACAGCTAGACAGAGTTGTAATTGGAAGGATGTAAGGTGGTGACATAACTGTGAAGAAAGCAAACGTAGTTCTGGACCTCCTTCAGGTGTACACTCCCGAACTCCCCGCATCCATCAGAAGTGTTCTAAGTCGCTGCCACAACGTGGAGCCGAAGTTTCTCGAAACAGGAGTGTACTATCATCTTGGATTGAAAACGAGCTTGCTGAGGATATCAGAAAATTTGCTATGTAAAATCCGTTCCACAGAAATGAAGCTGCGACTGAACTACGATGGCCTAAGTTTGTTCAACAGCTCTAACTAACAGTTGTGGCCTACCTTTGGTCGCTTAATACCTCCATTAGTCAGTGATGCATTCATAGTTGGGATCAACGGTGGCGAAGTAAATGTCCGCAGCACTTTTAATTGAGTTACAAGAATTGTTGACAGTGGGAATCAATGTAGATAAGTGTCAGTACACTTAGCACTAAAATGAGTTGCTGTTATTTGTGACACTCCAGCTCTCAGTTGCGTCAGGTATGTTGTAAGAAACAACGGTACCACTGGCTGTGACAAGTGTCAGGTTTTAGGGAAACAAATGGGTGGTCGAATGAATTTCCCTCATGGTGAAAACGACTTGAGAAGTGATGTCACTTTTCGTACTAAGTCAATCCATCCACCATCGTGGTAGAAGTTCATTCGAAAATCTGCCACTTGATATGTTAAAATATTTCCCATCAGAACCTGTGATATACTTAGGTATCATCAAGAAACTGATTTCCTTATGTAAGAAATTAGCTATTAAGCGGATGGATTAATCTATTTTCCATCCATAAGTGCATCACTTGACTTAGGTAGACAGCACACTACATGCGACTTTCAAAGGAAATGTCGTCCATTACATGAAGTTTCTGTGTGAAAAGCAAGTGAATGTCGGTTGTTCTTATTATACATAGGGCTTGTAGTTCTTTTTGATACGTTACCGTTAGCATTGTACAGAACGTTCCATCGCCTATCGTTGTCTGTATATTTATTATCTCACCCGAAGTTGTGCGCCACCTTCGTAAACAATGTTCGCATTATTGTCAACAACTTTTTGTTGACTTACGAAATCTGTTACTGTAAGGAGCACTTAGTTTATAATGTGCATAGTCCAAAGCACATTGTTGACAATGTTATCGAGCATGGCAGTCTTGAGTCATTTTCTGAACTTGCCAGTTACGTTTCCTCAACCTAAAGGAGGATTACTAGTTCATTCTATGTTTGACTTTCAATCAATGACGACCGACGCCCCATCAGTATTCGGCGATACTCCATGGATGTCATATATCTAACCAGCTTGCCATCTTATCTCGTAGCACCTGATTCCGTAAGACGACACCTACAATACACTAATGAAGTAGTGAAGAAGAAAGCAAAATATTTCGCAATCAAAAAGAATGGGAAAAACTGTTTCAACTGACAGAATAAAGCCTACTTTGTGTGGTCTGAAACACACGACATTTGGAAGCCGTCTAAAAACAACAGTAAATGCACAGGGGGAAAACACTAACTAATTCTTCCGTGATTACCATTATTACCGTTATTAGCACTACTAATATAAATACGATTACCATCATTGTTATTAACACTATCACTATCATTACCATGAGCTATATCAGCATTGATAGTGTGAACACATTGTACAGTTTTGGGTGGTTATTATTGTTATTTTATGAACAATACGACATTCTAATAATACGTTTATGATGTATACCGATACATTTTAGAGACGAACCTGACTGCATAGATCATCCAATTTGTGAATGCTTCAATAAAGCAAGATAGTTTTTCAATCCAATCATTCAGAACTTCTTGGTTAGGCAAACACTAATGGTTTTCGTCTCAGTTATGTACACATTGATATAATGAATGAAAATAAACTTTCGGACAATTCACATTTGTGTTTTTGATTGTTTTACAGGTAGTTTGTGGGGTATCGTACGTTTAGTGTAAGGAGGAAATATGGAGTATTTTGTGATATATGCATTCATTGATTTTTGATGACAAACTAAAAACCACATTTTGCTTTGCATTCCGTTGTATGTTATCACATTTATATTTATAGTATTTTACCTCTCAACATTTAACGAGGAGAAAAGTTTAGCAAATGGGGAGTGCGCGAAAAATTGATCGGAATGACATGGCTTGATAACTCAGGCTTGGACGCCCGATGTAACCTCTTGATTTTGTGTCAAATATATTACTCTCTTCCCAGCTAAAATGTATACTTCAGAAGTGTAAGACGTTACATTACGATAGGACGACTCAGTGTAGCGAATGATATGACTTTAACGTAAGATCCTATAGACCAGGTAGTCACATCATGGCAAATCTACAATTTTGAAATTAGGTCTGTGACTATAGCAGTACTGATAATAAATTAAACCATAATTCCACATTGTTGAGACCGGCCAAAGAAACACAGCCTGTTCTTGAGTCTCATATTCACTTTAATTTAATCGATTGATTTATACTTATGTTAGTCGATTTCTCTATCGGCCTCTTGATTAATGCCCTTGTACATTATCGTACTGTAATATTTATTAGTACTTATAGCTTACCAGCTCGATCGATACTAATATGTGATTGTCTATATTTATGTTAAGCTATTACGGTTCATTGACAAGCCTTAATAGAATTTAAATGCTTCACTGAAATGGACTTGTTAAAACATCAACCAATAGCAAACATGGATAGGCAATTGATGTATTATCATCCGCCATATTCCTAAATGTAGTTCCGCAACTCATGCCTCAGCTTTAAAGATTTTCCTGGCCAAGTTCTTTTTTAATTGTTAAATTCCTCACCAGCCTACATGTTAGCCTGATCTGTACATGCATTGCATCATGTCATCTCTATACCATTTGAAATTAATAGTTACTTAAATCATCTACATCATTTTTTACTAAACTCATCATATTCGTTATTGTTGTATGTATTTAACTTTATAAATTGGGCTGTCATATTAGTTTCATAGAAAGACGGTTACCATAGTCAGGATAATCAAGACACCGCATTAAGATATCGTACTGCACTGGTGTAATTACTAAAAAATTAAGTACTCGTTAGTCAAACAGGCGATCGAGATTAAAGCTGTGGAGCCTACCACCAAAATTAACAAATATTTCCGGGTCGCAACTCGTAATATAACCAGTCCGGCCGGATCAGTTTACACAACAAATTTCTGGTATTTTACAATCACTTAAAATAACAATGACCACTGAAAACAGCTGATTTCAAAACACTATAACAAGATATCGTGATAAAGCATTGTCATGTCTTGGCAGTTACGTGTTATGATTGGTAAAATTAATTAAACCATTAACACAAACTCGGTCGACAGATCGACTTATAATAATTATTAAACAGTTACCTTCTCGTGGACTTTTCAATCCGTTTTCTTTTAGTCAACTTGTAAATGGAAGCGCGATCAACAGTATTTCACTTCGGCAGTGATTTTTCGCATTGATAGTAGTCAATACTGAAATTAATTGTAGTGGGAATCAATCAGCTGTGATAGTATGTCATAGCTAAACAATGAAGGCCTTCTGGTTGATAATGGCACATGAAAGAGATAAAACCACTAACTCACTTCCCGTAGAATATTACGATGTTTATTTGTTTTCACGCCAAGGAAGCGTGTTATTAAAATATTCTAATAAACTAGCTCGACATAATTGGATGAGTTACCCTGGACGTCCGGGTCTACGCGTGTTGTTAGTGCGTTATAACGCACTGCTATAGCAGTCGAGTAAGTCATGTTGTCTTTATTCGTTAACGAAAAACTTGCTAAACTGTATGGCACCACAACACAATGGCATTTTCACGACATGGGAAACAAAATACAGAATCGTCACCGAAGAAAACAAGAACAGGTATGCACTAATTTGAAGGCAGTGCTCAATATTAGCAGATAACCGTAAGTCATACTGCAGTGAACGAGGACACAAGTGGGAACGGTCGCATGTATTTGGACACGAAGTTAAAGAATATATTAGTAAAATTTGAGAACCATACAGACAATTCACTTACAAAATGTCAATAAGACGTCTCATACTCTGATGCCACTCCATTTCCATACCAACCATTCTTTTTTCTTAAATCTTAACATTCTGACTTCAGGTATTTCACTTTCGATTGATGATACATACTAGCTATATCTATCAACAACAGAGGCACGCACCAAATACTTCAGGTCAACAGTTATCTAGGAAATTACGGTAGCCTGACAGCGTGAATTTTTGTATCCATTAAATTTCAGAATTCACAAGGTTATTTCGATTCGTAATAGCAATATTGCAGTTAACGAAAGACCGCATCATTGAGACGTTTATATTTAACAGTCCTTAAATGTCTCTGACTAGTCAGGTTCTTTTAAAATTGGATCTTCAGGTGCGAGAACCAAAACGAAGACAAGTGGATCAGAAACGACGACGCATACAAGCAGCTTAAACTAAGAAGAACCAATTCATAAAAGCTCTAAAATAAGTCAGGCACCACTACAACATCAATCTAACTTGTGGATTCGTTTCTTATCCAAAAATCCTTTCCCGTCTTGCGACTTCTTTTACAAAGGAATACCGCGTTTCCAGATGCAAAGTTCTACTAGTTCAAATAACAGTGACAATGACGTGCCCATGACAAAACAACAAACCCAAACATTTTGACCGTTGTCTTCAGCTCTCATCCATGAGGACTCCAAGTTCCAATCAACTGAAATCTCTAAAACGGACTCAAGTACTGGTATACCACCGGGACTGATTTGAATCAAATATAAATAATTAGGTGCTTAGAGTCAGAATAAATTTCATATTTCCACAGGGTACTAGTTCTTTTGTCGTTTCATCTTTTGGTTTAAAGGACAAGCTGTGAACCACATGTGGAGAAATTCGAACATTTCATCTGAAGTTTGTGGTGATGTCGTTCAGGAGAACGATCAAAATGTCCACCATCTCATCATTCGCATTAATTAGAGAGCTGATAGATCCGAATGGCCACCGTCGAATTGAGATATTATAGTTCAACAGCAAGCATCAGGTGTCTATGTACTTGAATGCAATGTAACCGATGGGATAATTAACTCTGGGGTGTTTAGTGGCTGGATAAAATGCCACAAACTATATACAATAAGGCCTTTAAGTCCGCAAGGTTTTTTAAACTGGAATGTCGTGCTACGATCACCGTACAGCTTAAAACAAGTACATTTTAGTCAAGATTATTGGATAAAATTCGCCACGCTGAATTGCTACATCCCTCTCTGATTATTTAGGCAACAGATTACACCCCATCTCGGCATCCAGTATTGCAATTACTAGCAACAGCTTTTGCATAACGATTTCTACATATAAAATACGATTAATGTAGTGAAAAGCGATGTATTGGAATTGAATTCCTATTATGCGTCACATAGCCGGAATTTTGTTTTAAGAATCGTAGCCGCTCTACATATTGGTCACGTAATTCACAATGATAATAAACACTGTCTGGTTTTCAGTTTACGTGCATCAGAGCACTGAAGAAACTTAGACGTCAATATCTGAGTAGTCCGTAGTCCCTTAGTGCTTTGCAGACGTAGTCGTCACAGCCATCACGTTTATGGATAGAAACAAGAGTTTATAAATCAGACCAATATCGAAAGTCATATAAAGGTAAAATAATTTTTGTTCGCAGTGAGTCTATTTTACCTTGAACAACAAGCTAAATATGTTCAGCAAGGGTCCCCTATTAGCCAGAACCATGTCAATTAAGCGATAACTGTTTGTTGACATATGTTACAGACACATTGATATACGGGACTTCGGCTTAAGAAAAGGAAAAGCCTAGTCACCTACCGCTGGTCCTCTCTAAGAGGATGGTTGGTGAACGCAAGGTGCATATAGACAACAAACAAAAGACCAGTTTCGATAGATTGATTAAAAGATTCAATTGGTTTTGGACAGTATATACAATTAATTTAAGTCTGCAAAATAGACATTTGAAAAATATAAAATAAATGCACAGCAAAAATATACATGGTAGACTATTCACACATTTTTTATGGTAAACGGATTGGGTTGATCTGAAATCAAATGGAAAAAAAAACAACGATCAGTACCAATAGAATAAACGAAGTACATGTGCATAGTAAACGAAAAACTACATGGCTGGATTGTTGCACGGCAATTAGGTGTAACTGATTGGGATACATATATTGATGCCAAGGCACGACAAATACTTAGTAGAACGTTTACAACCAAAGAAACAATGTACCATCACACTTACGATGAGAAAAATATACATGATCCCCAAATCAAACAGAATAACTGAACTGATAACCGGGATTGTTGTAACATTATACAAGTTGTTACTAGTAATATTTATTCAACAATCAAATTCTTGACAATGAGGAAAAGAATATGTGATTACTGAATGTCTAAAACTCACGAAGAAGAAATGTAGCATACTGTGATATTTTAGGCAATTGTTTATAAAAATGAGTTACAATAAACACGGTAACCACTAGATCATAAGTAAAATAACATATTATGGTTGAGTTCAGCATTAAAGAAGAACGAGGGACTAAAAATGACAAGACAGCATGCTGAAGAACACGAGATTCCAAAATCCGATGCACATTATAAGTTATATCACCGAGTAACAAACATTAACTGACAACAGATAACGTAGCTCACAAAACTTCCCACCCTATAAATCCGTTGTAAATAGGTAGATATGGCAGCTAAGTATTTTCGACTATATTACCTTCAAGTGCTTCTCTTTAAAACTCATTAAGATCTGTAGAGATCCAAACAGTTAAAGAATATATATATATATATATATATATATATATATATATATATATAGATTACTTGATGAATCGGACCAATCTAAGTCTAGTAAAATCCAGAGCGACTTATGCCAACCTGGTCCATATTTGATGCCGTCGTACAGTTGGTATGGTTGTAAAAAATTCAGTGTACAACACATAGTTGAGAGCAGTTCGTTAATGAAACCTGGCGTCCTCCAAGTTAGGGAAGTTAGATGACTGTGTTCAATTATCATCTCGAAAGGATAGATGACGTTCAGTGGCAAAATTACGTAAGATGCAGATCCGTCAGTGTGTTCGGGTACGTTGACGATCTTCAAACACCAGTTTCGGTGGCTTACGGATATTATATGAATGTCATCCCTTAAACCTCCATATAGTGCATTATATACTGGTATTGAGATTAGTTACTAAAATTGAAGAGGTGGCCAGGTCATAACACGGAGCCGGGTATGTGAGAAAGCTATATAAAACTGGCAATTAACTGACGATAACGACTGCTTGGTTGGGGTCAGAGAGATAGTGCCACTCAGTGGCTTGAGATGTTATCAAACATGTGTTAGGACAAGAACCGATAAAGATTCTGATGTAATTTTCTTTTAAAAAAGAAATTTTTGACAAAGTATTCTCATCGGTTGTACTATTAACTAAACTGTTTCACTCATTTTTATTCATTTTTTTGTCTTGGATCATACTCTCCTTCCTCTATTTCTTCCCAATCCCATCTTATTATGTGGCACATTGTTTTCGTGCCCATTGGTACCAACATGTGTTCAGAAAAACAAATAAAGTGGTCGAACGAAATTAACATTGAATATATTCAGAGCACTTATCAGAAATGCAATGAACCAGAGACATGGGAAATATTTAACAAAAAGTCAATTTTGCAGTAGTTATATAGGAATCAATAGACGGATATTGAGAATATTCAACATGAAAATGAAAGAAACTAAAAAATTGCTTGAATACCTTTGAAATAAGTGTTTAATTCAAGTTCGGCTAAAAACTCGCTCCTTTGACGATGGAAAAGGTAGCGAGAGTGGTTGTACAGACTTCTTTTGGATGCGAAGGTAAGATTTACGAACAGAGATTCCGATAGATTCAGCAGTATGTAACAGACGAACTCGTAAATCATGTGGTTAATTAGATGGGATATGGTGCATAACCTCAAAAGCTTTATTCAAGTCAACTTGATGTTGTGTCCACCAAGTGAGCGAGAACAGAACTCTTAACCACTCTCACCTGTCCTTTGCTCAATTAAGGAGGATGGTGTTCTGCTATACGATGACAGACTTGCCGAATTGCACGCCCTGTATAACAACAAATTTGAAGGAGTCCATGACACTATGATTAACAATTTCGTTGTGCAACGGTTTGAGAATCTGCACTAACAATTTTACTGTAGTTACAGACTGAATTACTTATATTTAAAACGGATAGAAGGGACTGTAGCAAGCCCATTCAACTAGTGTATTATTTGTCTATTCACTGTAATTCAGACACTTAATTCACTATGTTAATTTCTGTGTTTTGTCATTGAGCGCGTGTCTGCACATCAACCTCATTCTATTCTCCTATTGGTTGTAACATTCACATAATCAATAATTCATCCACACTTGATTGACACTCAAAAATATATATGGATTTTCAATTCGCACACACACACACACACTCGTGGTTTCACAGTGTGCTGGCTCACTGTACGCTTGCGGATGTTATTTATCTTTAACAATAAAATATCTCTACAACTGATGTTCAGGCTTCTGAATAATCTCCAGTAAATCCATAATTCTACTAGGAGATTTAGCCTACCTTAAATACTCAGTTAACGGGATATCATTTATTGGAGTGAGATATAGAAGAAATTAGCGACAACATTTGGTAAACCGCTTTTAGAACACGCACCATTTCTCTACAAAGTCTGCTGCATACTTTCCAAGAGTATCACAAAGAACTTCACATTGGAATTAATATTACAATTATTAACAATTCATTGACAGTCATAATAAATCCACCCATAACATTGTTCCTTTGGAATTATTGCCGTATATTCGCATATTTAAACACAAAGTGACAGTTTTTCTTTCCGGTGAGTCTTATATATATTTCTTTTTGTTATTTTTGATTTCTTCATATTGTATATTACAATCCTCAGCTTATTATTATTATTGCTTCATCGTATTATGGCACTTGATAATTCGCTAAGCCTATGTCCGCGGGTGCCATCTCTGTACCTTTACCTGTCTTTAATCCGCGAAAGGCCGAACTCTGGTTTGCACGCTTAGAAAGCTTTTTTGTTGCAAACAGAATCACAAATCAGAGCACGAAATTAAGTTACGCAAACTCATTGCTACCACAAAACATCCAGCAGGCACTTGCGATTGGAGACGAAGATGTCGGTTTTGATAGGCTAGCAGACATAGCCGACAGAATTTACGAGCGGTCTAAGACTCACTCTGTATCTCACATATAATCAAGCTCAACTGACGAGATCGCCGAGTTACGACGAACAGTTGATACCCTCATTAAACAGATAGCCCAGCTCCAATGATTGAATACTCTCCACAGTAAGTGTGGAGGAACATCCAGAAGCCGTAGACGTCGTAGTCCAAGCACTACCAGACACAACATTTGTTGACACCATAGAACTTACGGCAAACAATCTAAAAAATGAACTCCGCCTCGTAACTTCGCAAGCACACAGAAAAAGAAACGCCAAGACCGCCGGCTAATGACGACTGCAGTCACTGACCACAATTCTTAAGACAGCCGTCTGTTATATGTTACAGAAAAAAGAACGGGCACACAGTTTTTAGTCGACACAGGGGCAGAGGTTAGTGTAGTACCACCCACTACACTCGAGAAAAACACACCTGACAGCAAACTAAAACTACAAGCAGCAAACAGGTCTGACATCAAGACGTACGGCAAAAAGCGGTTACAATTAAATTTCAATCCTAAATCTAAATTTTCATGGAGTTTCATCATAGCGGATGTCCTCGTTCCTAAATCGGCATTGATTTTCTGCAACTCCACAAAATACTGGTAGACGTCAGAAACAGGAAACTTGTTTTTGCCGAACAGAGGAATGAGATCCGAGGAATTATATCAAATGAGACTTCCATACATTTATTAGTTAAACCTCATCACGAGAATGACAAATACGTCAATTTACTTAATCAGTTTCCAGACTTATTACGACCGAGTTTCAAACATGACAAACCGACACATACCTTTGTACATCACATAAAGACAGAGAGTCCACCAGTGTTTGCAAGTCCAAGACGCCTTGACCCCTCTCGTCTGGCTATCGCAAAGAACGAATTCAACAAAATGATAGATTTGGGTATCATACGCCCCTCCGACAGTCTGTGGGCATCACCGTTCCATATGGTACCCAAGAAAAACTCTTCCGAAGTCAGACCTTGCGGTGACTATAGAGCTTTCAACAGCCAGACCATATTAGACAGATACCCTCTCCCACATTTACACGACTTTACTCATAGCCTATCGGATGTGTCGATTTTTCCAAAAGTTGATCTTGTCCGTGCTTACCATCGCATTCCAATTCATCCGGACGATGTTCCTAAAACAGCCATTACTGCCCCCATTTGTACTATACGAATTTGTTCGCATGCCTTTCAGATTAAGGAATGCTGCACAAAGTTTCCAGCGTTTTATGGACTAAGTGGTACGCGGCTTACCGTTTGTATATGTTTACATAGATGACCTACTTATAGCAAACAAAGATGAAAATGAACATCTAACTCACCTAAAAATGCTTTTTGAGAAGCTAAACGAGTATGGGTTAGCAGTCAACCCTGACAAATGTGAGTTCGGAAAACGATTCCTCACCTTTTAGGTCACGTACTTGATAATCAAAACATCAAACCAGTCCCTGAGGAAACACAAGCTATCAAAATTATCCTTTACCTGATTCATTCAAGAAACTACGACGTTTCCTTGGGATGATAAACTTTTAAATACGTTTTATCCCGAAATGTGCAGACATAGCAAAACTGCTAACTGATTTATTAAGGGGACGAACTAAATCATTAGCAATGACACCGCAAGCAATTCAAGCATTTGAACGGTTGAAAAGCGCCTTAAGCACCGAGGCATTACTTGCACAACGAAAGGTTGATGCGCCTTTAGCAGTAATGACCGACGCTTCTAATGTAGCAGTAGGTGCTGTACTTCAGCAACGTGTCAATCAACAATGACAACCCCTTGCGTTTTTCTGAAAAAAACTAAACGCAACGCAAACAAAATATAGCACCCTCGGTAGAGAACTGTTGGCTATCTACTTAGCCATCAAACACTTTCAGTATATGTTAGAATGTAATTCTTTTACGATATATACTGATCACAAACCTCTAAGTCCTTGATGCACAATCATGATAAATACAGTCCGCGCGAAATTCTTCAACTAGAATTCATTTCACAAGTTGCAGTTGATATACGCTATATAAAAGGCAATGAAAATGATGCAGTAGACGCACTATCGAGATTAAATATCAATACATTCTCGACCCCTGATATAAACTATCAAGACATGGCAAAACATCAAAAGCTCGATAGGAGCTACAAAAGCTTTTGCAATGTAAAGAAACGAAATTATTATTCCAGAACATCCCCATAAACAACAAGGACACCTTAACCTGTGATATCTCAACAGGTAAAACTCGCCCCTTTGTACCTAATGATATGAGACGAAACATTTTTGAGAAACTACACAACATATCTCATCCAGGTATAAAAGCCACTGTAAAGCTTATCACAGATAGGTTTGTATGGCCAAACATAAACAAAGATGTACGAAAATGGTCGCGGGGATGTATCCAATGCCAGAAGTCAAAGGTAAATAGACATATCATATCTCCTACAGTAATTTTTCCCGCCGCTAGCGCTAGGTTCGACCACATTCATGTCGACATCGTTGGATCGTTACCAATTTCTAATGGTTGCACGCATATACTAACATGTATAGATAGATTTACGAGATGGCCTATAGCTGTTCCGTTAAAAGACACGTCGGTATCAACAGTGGTGAAGAAACTGGTGAAACACTGGATTACAAACTTCGGTGTCCCTACAACAATTACGACCGACCGTAGAACTCAGTTTGTAAGCAAACTATTTTAGCAACTTACAAATACTTTCGGTATAAAGAGAATTAGAACCACTGCTTATCATCCGACTGCTAATAGAATGATAGAAAGGTTCCACAGACAGTTAAAAGCATCTTTGACGGCCGCAGGAGGAAATTACAAATGGGATGACAAGCTTCCTTTGATACTATTAGGCATTCGCTCAACCATCAAACAAGACCTCGGTTGTTGTTCTGCTGAGTTGGTCTAAGGAACAACATTACGTTTGCCTGGTGCATTTTTTTGGCCGTGCAACAGATATTTCAGCAGATATAACCAACTACATGCAACAATTAAAACAGCAGATGGAATCCATTAGGTTCGTTGAATCACGAACCCAAAAAGTAAGGTCATTCGTGCCCAATGAACTGGACAAATGCTGACATGTATTCGTCAGAAATGATAGAGTACGACAGCCGTTACAGACTCCTTACGACCGCTCTTTTAAAATCATCCGAAAGGACAGTAAAACGGTTACAGTGGAAAGAGCAGGTAAACATGATATTGTTAGCATCGACAGAGTAAAACCAGCGTTTTTAGAGAACACTGAAAAACAGACAACTGTAAAACCGTCTAAACCCGCAGCAGAGCAAGCAACAAACAATACTTCACATCAAAGTTCAGCAGCAGCAGGAACTACAACAAGATCAGGAAGAGTACATTGACCAGATAGGTATGTAGCAACAACCATATTTATCTAGACCAACTCCTGAGATTGCTCTTATAACACAAAAATCATTATTTATTTTCATCACTATTTTTTCTTTATTGGCACGACGGATTATCATTATGTTTACATTTTAACTTCATCCAATTCCTTCATGTTAAATATACATTCATATATACATGATATGAAAGGTTTCAACACACAAGCTGTTATTACAATTTAACGCTTACTCATCATATCGACTTGTACATTTATTTTAAAACAATTCCGTTTTTGTCTCTTTGTCGAACATGGATGTGAATAAAAATATTTTTTTGTAAATAAGAACATCAATGTTGTGGATGGGAGCTTATGTAGCAAGCCCATTTAACTATTGTATTATTTGTCTACTCACTGTAATTCAGACACTTAATTCACTATGTTAATTTCTGTGCTTTTATCATTGAGCGCGTGTCTGCACATCAACCTCATTCTATTCTCCTATTGGTTGTAA